CGTTATCGTCCATCTACATCGACCGATAAATCAAGCATCCCCATCCGAAGAGGATTTACGCGGTCCCTCGGCTCACCTGCGTGGAAGCATGTTGTTGTTGTTGGTTATGCTGGGCCTGTTGATGAGATTGCTGCTGCTGCTGTTGTTGCTGTTGTTGATGCTGCTGCTGCTGCTGCTGCTGCTGTTGTTGCTGCTGCTGTTGCGAGCCGCCCACGGCGTTGCACAGCTCGGCGAAAGTTTGTATCGTCGACTCGTTGGACGCTTGTTGGAACACAGGCGACGTGGACGAGACCACCACGGCACCGCCTGTCGTCGGAATACTGAGGGAGACGGTCACTATCCCAGCCGAGGCAGCCGCCGTTTCCAGAACGTCCGACCGGGACTCCAGCTGGGGCGAGGGCGCGCCTTCCGAGCTCTGGGAGTCATCCTCGAAGGTGATGTAGTGGTCTGGGTGTTGGGGCTTAGTTACTTGGCCCTCGCAAGTGGCCTTGAAGGGAATGTGACCCTCTGTGCGGGGGAGAGAGGAGAAGAAGAAATGTTGGAATGAATCGAAAGAGGTTACGCTTCGAAGAGAAAAAGTGATTAAGCGATGCTCTTTTTTTTTCACGAGGATCATATTTGATCATCGATCAAAGAGCGCGATTCGTTGAGTTGAGCTGCGAGGCGAGCTCACCTTTGACCGCCCTTTCAATAGGCTCCTCCGTGTGGAGAATATTCTTTTGGATGAGCTCGAGCGGCCCGGGTCGATGACTGAGCTGGTCGTTCAGCTGGTCGGCTAACCTGGCCTTCTTCAGCATCCGTTGCCTCTCGGCCAGGCTTGGATCCACGTGACCCACATCCTCGAGGATATGCTGCCTAACCAGCTCCTCCCTGCCTGGTCTCTGCTGGATCTTCGCCTTCAGAAGATCACCGGTTTTCGCCCGTTCCAGTTGCTTCCTTTGCTCGTGGAACGCCGGTGGTGTCTTCAATGCTAGGGAAAAAAAAAAAAAAAAATAAGAAAATATTCTTTATTATTCTTCGACAAATGAAATTTACAAAATTTTACATGTTCATGAAAATCGTTTAAGAAATTCAAATTGACAGATCTTTGGAAATTTTCGCGGAGCAAGATTCAAATATAAATTCGAAGAGGGGGAATCGAATCCCATCCTCTACTATCGGAGACTAAGACTAAGAAATGGGAAACAACACGCGTATCGACGTTGCCTCAGATGAAAATACATATTTAGCAATCTCGCGGGAATTCGTTTACCGTTCTATCGTTCAACTATTTCAAACACCTAAATGTTTAAAATACGGTTTTATCGGAAGTATACCGTTTCGATCGAAAAGATTAATTTTAGACTTAGCAACCTTGCGGCGCCTCGCCGCGAGGAAGCCACTATTTCCAGCCGTGTTAAAAAACACCGTGTGCCCGTGTGTCGTTCCACCCGCTCTGGAATTAAAATCTCAGCCGCGCGACACTCCACCTCCGTGATTTTTATCTCCCCGCTGGAGACACTTAAATCACGGCCGGATGGTGTATGCGACCACTTTCATCGAGCTTTCCTCGATGACGCTCGAAGGGCGCGATCTAATAAAAGAAACGGATGAGAGAAAGAGAAAAAGAGAGAGAGAGAGAGAGAGAGAGAGAGAGAGAGAGAGAGAGAGAGAGA